CCCTGTCCCGCTGCATGAGGAGGAGGAACGCCCCTCCACGGACCCTGCACCCCATCGGGACCCCACGCTCCGGGGATGATGTCTGCAGGCGCCTGTACGTCCCCAAAACAGCCTCTCCCTGCAGGGCACCGGGGTCAGAGAGCACGGAAAAGCATCCCTGGGTAGGGAGGACATGGATTATTGGAGTGAGGAGAGGAACTGCCCCTTAAAGCACTTAACTCCCCTGAGGAAGCTGATGTTCAGTGTGCTGCCAGCTGTGAATCACATACATTCCCATGTTCAGGTAGTTTTGCACACGAGCAGTAGACCTCAGTCTGTCCTCTGAAAGTGAAGTGAACGCCACCATCTCTTCCTTGACGCGGCTGTCTGTTCCTGCAGCCTATTTTCAACATAAATGTAAAAGTCTGCAGTTTTTGGAGGTCATACTGCATGTTGCTATCCTAGCCCAGACTGGACTATAAAGATGTTCAAATAGGTTATCTGGCTCTTACTGTGCCCTTAGTCACACCTAGAATATCTTCACTTCTATTTTCCACAATGACCTGACTGAATGGAGTCGTTTACAGGGTATCAGGAAACAATGCAGGATCTGATAGACCTGTCTATTCCAAGTAGTTTAATTATTTTAGTAGTTTAATTTGATGTAGTTTACTTTTAGTTTTGCAGTTTACCTATAAATTCATCCAGCCTGTTGCTTTCTTGTCACATACTGTTGAGAGACTTATTCCTTGTCCCTTCATAACTGGTATTTATCCTTTCTGTATTTTATGTTCCTGTTGCCTCTCCTCAGGCTTCAGTCAATCTAATACTGACATCTCTGCTTTATTAAGATACATTTTAAAATATAAGCAGAGAGCACCAGGAAAGCCTTTTGTAAAGTGCAGATTATGGTTTGAAGCTTTTCCAAGGTATTTTTACGAAACAGTCAACTCCAGGAGGCCAAAGAAACTGACAATATTACACCTTTCCACCTGCCAAACATATTAACTGTGTGTTTTTTCTCTTCTTACTGGTGCATTCCAGCCTGCCTGCACAGGAGCAGGTGACCTCACCCTCCCCACTGCTGCTAAACAGAAATCACCCCCTGCCACCCATTGCCACCACTGCCACCGTGGCAGAGCATGGGAGCACCACAGGAGCCCACAGGCAAACGGTAACAAGCACAAGAATCTCATTTTATTACTGAATAATCTAAAGTTGTTATCACTGCTGATCAAATTATCCAGCCCAAGAGTTCCAATTTATTTGTTGTTTTGTGACAGAAAGTCAAGTAGATGCATGAAAAATGTTATATCAGTTTTGAGTAACAGCATCACCCACGCTTGCATGCTTAGTTCTCACTAATGCCAAATGAATGTTTCCCTCCTTATAACTAGGTAAAAATTGGAAAATGAGCTTTAATTCCTGGATTAATTATTTTCAGTGTACTGCTGCCCTAAGAAAAAGATGGAACTCTGTTATTCCTCCTTGCAGAAACCTCGAGGGAACTCGAGCCGTGCTCACAGTGTCACGACACAAGAAGATGCTCACCAGCAGCTCCAGGAGCAGCTGTTCTTACCTGATCCCTTCCCCAGGCCTAGCACAACCAGCACATCCTCGGTAAAGCATGGCTAATTACACATCATCCTTAATTACTGAAAAGGGTGCTTTGAGAATTAATGATATCCAGTCTGTTTCAGTATCAAATACTCTTAGTTTAATTTACTGAAACTATACTCTACTGATACCTTCTTGGATCTAACAACATATTTTTATCTAAGGTTTGAAAGCTGTAATTTCAGCACAGCTGTTAATTAACTGCTTGATTGGTTTCTGTGTATAATTTCAACATCCTGAACTCCACAGTTTTAAAATCTGCTTTGGAACAGCACAATTTTCTGAAATTGAAAGCCTGCCTCTAACTGACCCAGTGATCATTCTAAATAGGTGTTAGAAAAGTGTATTTTCTACTTCTGAAGTTGATTTGACCTGTCTTTAAAACTTTCCTTAGACTGTCACAACATCTAACTCATTACCAAATACACGTTTAAGTAGTTTGTTAGTTGTATTATAACCTTGCTGATTTTTTTCATGCAAACAGAAGTATCTTGAACTGTTTTTCCAGCCCCATTCCCAGCGCCGCCGTTCTTGCACTGTTATTGATTATAGTAATCAATCCTGGACAAGAAGAGGATCCACAAGTTCAGGTATGTTCATCAGTCACAGGGTTCAGTAAGATCAAACAAAGGGAGTTTTTGGGACAGGGATGCATTTCCTAGAGGTACATTCCTACAGGTATTATCCATTTTTCAAAGCTCCATCCATGTCCTTAATTTGCCATTCTACAGATGTTATCCTTCCTATGTCCTACTCTACTCCAGAGTATAGTTGGGTGCATTTTGCTGGGATTTTTTTATTACCACCAAATATTTAAATCAAGAAGCTTAATGTCATCAACCCCTGTGCCTCTCAGTGTCCAAGTTTTCAAAGCAGGAGTTGTCAGCTTAAATAGAAATAGTAACTTGAGGTTAACAGGGGCACTTAAACTGAAGTAACTTGTTTTTAAACAAGCAAGGAGTGCTTGAAAAGTTAAAATAAGTATCTTCCCCCCTCCAAAAAAAAAAAAAAAAAAAAAAAGCAAGGTGAGTTTTATGACTACTGTATTGACAAAAACAATTTAAATTAGCAGAAAAGCCTTGTAGACACAAATACTTAGTGAAATATCAAGGAATGCAGTCACTCCCTGCAATGCAGTGACTCAGCAAGCCCAAGCTCTGCCCTTTTTGGAAGTTATAAGCAATGCAGTTGATAGCCATGTGTTAAAAGTAAAAAGACATTTTAGCTGTAGGCTAGAGGATATGTATTTGATGCTCAATTCCTTCCCAAAGTCTTGAGGCTGTCCATGCTCTTGTTTGTCAGGTCTTCCACCACGTGGTTCTGTGAAAGCCCACGGCCGAAGTGGATCAGGGACAAAAAGCAAAGAGAGGCACTGAGGTGCCATGGAGAAGCATCCACCCATCCATCCCTCTCCAGAGTCATCAACCACCTCTCCTTCCCAGCAAGGTCAACGTTGTTTACACGGAGCTTTCAAACACCCTTCCTTACAGATAGTTATTTTTATATAAATCTAAGCAGCAGCTGCCAAAGATTAGAAGGGGTGCACTTAAACATTCCGTTTCCTACCAGTAGAGGAAGTGATGCTCCAGTGGAAGGGTGAATACACTCCAGTGAAGCCCAACTCCTAGGAAACCCAACAAACACTCTCAGTCTGTGCTGTTTTCCATGAGGCTGGTGACAGGTTCATGTCTTTACAGGCAGGTACTGCAGGACCTGCTCATTTTTCCCTTAGGAAGGTTAACCTGGCCTTCCACAGCTGTAGTGATTTACATTTTTTAAAAAGTGTATTTATATGTTTAAATATGTTTAAAGCAATATTGTACTAGCAAAAGCAAGAACTCAGGCAAGTGATGAATGCTGTGGTAGCTGCAGCAAGTATGAACACAGGTGTGTAGAACCAAGGCAGCAGAGCAGATGATCTGGCAGCTCCAAGGGCAGCACACCACTGCCTCTTCCTGAATTATAATAAAACCTTTTACCTCTTCCTCAGTGACTGAAGAAGGCTGAACAGGCAAAAAAGAAGCTTTTTACTACAAGTAGTTTCAGACAGTACTCAAAATCTTCCTGGTGAGACATTTTATGGTAATTTTACAGAATAGCTCAGTGTCCCTTTGTAAAAATACCTATAATTACACAAGTTTTATTCACTCCAAGGTAGAGTTCCAGAAGCCACTAATGCAGTAGAGCTTTTAGGAGCTGTCTCTGCCCTGTGTGACAGACCTAACAGAGGCATTTGCTGGAGTTGGCCTTGTGGCTCCAGATAAGACAAATAAAACCATGAAGTACAGGCTTCTCAAAATAAGTGATTAGTTGAAGGTCTTAGTCCCAAACAGTAAGTGCCAGGCTGAAATGTAAAAACAAGCTGAGGTAACCACTGGCTGTATTTAAACAAAGTTAGGACACCCCACCAAAAAGAGTTGTTCCGTTCTAGTCCAATTAAAGAGCACTGTTTTCCTGTATCTTATTATTCCTCAAATTACAGTTCACAAAAGAAAAAAAACCTTGTTAGTATTCTTTATGAAGTGGCTCCCTTACTTCCCCCACTCCAGACTAGCTAATAATTTTTCATCAATATTGAAGTTCACGAGTCCAGTTGATCTAAGCATGCTTCAATCAAAAGCAGGGAACTGTGCAAATAGAACTGGGTTAACCTGCCTTTGCATTTCCAGAAGTTTAAAAAAAAAAAACAAAAAAAAACAAAAAAAAAGGCAGCTCTGAGCTCAATCTAAACCTCTAAAGTTTTCAGAGAGAGAAGCTGATGCTCACCAGAGACTTCTACTCACTAAACCATTCCAAAACACAATTTCTCTTCTGGAACACTGTGCAGTGTGTCAGCTATGTCAGGCAAAGTGCAGATAAGCATCCCATTTGTATCCGTGCCATTCCTCAGGGACCAAGTGAGTTTTCTGTAGCACAAGAGTTACAAAAGCAGACAAATAAACGTGGATAGACTTCTGTTAACATAATGTAGTGTTTTACAGCCTAGAGGAGTCAGTGGGTTTAAAAAATGCAGTTGCCTCCTAAGGCCATTTTTGTTTTTTGTACAGATGGCTGACACCAGGGACTGCTCCTAGATTTATTTTGTGCAATAAGAATAACCTTCAAGCCCCGTGTTACAAAACACAGTGATATGCTCTGCATTCTCAGAATCAGGATTAATTTTGAGAGAAGAGAAGTATAAGGGAACAGAGACCATCTACTGCTGGCTGCCCCCCAGGAGCTGTTGTTGAAGTTGTGAGGGCCTTCAGCTCCCAAAGTGTTCACCTCGAGACTCCTACACCTTTGAAAAATGATCCTCCCTGGAAGTGCGTGGGATTTACTTGACTGAAATCAGAAGAAGCAACACAACTGGCTTGTTTTAAATAGCTTATTTAGAAAACATACAGAGAACTAGTATGCAAAACTGAAAGAAACCCACCCAAGAATGTTTATTAAATCCGCAATTTTCCAAACTATCTTTATAAAACTCCTGGGATATCTGAAAAAGACCTGTTGAGCTGATGTGCAAGGACCTTTAAAAACAGCAGGGTTTTTACAGAAGAAATGTGTGAATAGCACACATGGATCTCAACTGTAGAGCACCCAAAGGGTTTGAGACAGTAGCACAGAAATGCCTTGTCTTGTTCAGCATGCATACTCTGTCATGCCTCTCACTTATAGCCAGTCAATGCACACAGTCCAAAACAGGAGCCTGGAAAACACCCAAAATTCTCCCAGATCCATGTTTCCATACAAAGTGAAACCTGGTATTTCAGTCTACACTGTTCCTTCTGCCTTTCTTTTCTTGCCTGAGGTCTTCTTTGCTCCTTTCTTAGCACTGTTCCCGTACTTTGCTTCCAGCTGGGCAAAGAAGTTATCCATTTCCTTTTCTCGAGCTCTGCTTCGGCTCTGGGGAGGGGGAAAAGAACATCAACCAGACTCAAACCTTTTGTCAGTTCCCAATGCAGCTTATCCTAGCAAACTTTGATAGCTACACAAATTCTTGGGCTGTATTAAACAGCAAATACAAGCTACAGGAAGTTTAGTATCATCATCAAAACTCCCTGTGAAACTGCCTAAAGCTAGAAGTTATTGCATTAAGTACTCCAAATGTTTAACTCTTGTAAATTTTTAAAAAGACACAGGTAATAAAATCCATACTGTACTCTAATTAAAGCACATAGTTAACATTAAGGCCAGGTTTTAACCTCGTGAATTCAGAAGAGATGCAAGGATCCAAAATCAAAGACACTCAGGGAAAACACAATTATAAGCCAGTAACAAAGTTATCTGCAACAGAAGAAGCCTTACTTTTATCAGCGCTTGCAAGTCATTTTCTCCACTAAGGCCCAGTTCATCTTTAGTCTTTTTTGCCTCTTTAGCTTCTTTCTCTGCCTAAAAGAACAAACAAGTTTTTTTAAAGAAGTATTTTGCATGTTATCTGACCAAGTCTTACAGGAGTTCCCAAATGGTTTTTTTTTTTGGCATCTGTGTACAAATAGCTGCAGGGGAGTATCAAGGGTTTCCAAGTTTGGCCACAGATAAGGAAAGGCCATTCTGGTTCCACCACTGAGCAGAGCAGGACGTTTTTCTGCTCTTTCAAGGTTTGTCCCTGTTCCCACACCCTTTTCTTTTTGTCTTGGTAGATACTACATTAACTTAAAAGTTACTATGATGTGCATATAACATTCTACAAAGTGTCCAAAAGTACACAAAAGTCCATTTAGGCCAGAGCAGTGTCACACCTGCCAGAAGTCAACCAAAATGTATTTTCACCACTTGTTTTTGTTAACTCCAGCAACCCACAGCTTTGTAGATAAATGCAGGCACAGTGTAATAAACTGTAATAAGCTGTTGCATATAAAAAGGAAATAAAGAAGTAGAAAAGCCTTTCACAGTGATTTGGGGTGGGGGGGTGATGACCATAGGTGACCAGATGTGAACAGCAAGGCGTGTAACCCAGCAATCCCGTGACAAACATCTCGGGAACTTCTTTCTGCCAAGGGAACAAGGTTATGGGAATCAATTGCTGCAACCTACCCGTCTTCTTCTGGACATCATCTTCTGCTTCGACTCCTTTACAAAAGCCTTGAAGGATGGGAGCTCCCCGGAGTCGATGCCTTGCTTGATCATTTCCCGTATCCTGGGCTCATCCGTGTAGTCCACGCACATCACGGACTCCATGATCCGATCCATGTCACCCTTGAAATTCACATATGCTGCCTTTACATCAGCCAGCTCTTCCTCCGAGTTTTTGTAGTTATTCTGGAAGTCTTCGATGTCTTTCACGGTGACCTGGAGCAAGGAGGCGATTGTCTATGAGTACCAGGACTTACTCAGCAGGAGGATTGAAGCGAAAACACATAAAACCGAACAAAACAGGGTTCTTGTGTTTCCCAGCCCCATCCCACTCCCACCTTGAAGAGCAGGTGCCAGTACTCCAGCCAGTCCCGCCCGTCCTGCAGCGCCTCGGCGTCCTCGTCCACCACGCCCGTCTCATCGTACGCTGCGCGCTGATTCTCGTCGCTCAGCACGGCGTACACCTTGCCCAGGATCTGCGGGACGCAGAGGTTACTCGGGGAGCGGTCACTTGGGAGTCAGTGACCCACAGTCAGTCACCTGGGGGGCACTGGGTTGGGCACTCAGGGTCGGGCTTGGTCACTGAGGGTCGGCTGCTCGGGGTTCAGTCACTCGGGGGGGCAGAGGGGTCACTTGTGGGGTGCTGGGTCGGTCTCCCTCGTAGCCGCCACCGCCCCCCTCCCTCGCTCTGTCTCTTCCTCCCTCCCTCCCGTTCTCCCTCGGTCTCTCCTCACCTGGAAGCGGCGCGTGGCCTCCTCCTTCTGCTCGGGCGGGACGCGGTCGGGGTGCAGGCGCAGCGAGACGCGGTGGTAGCCGCGGCGGATCTCCTGCGGGGTCGCGCCGCGCCGCACGCCCAGCACGCCGTACAGATCCGCGGTGCCGAACGCGGCCTCGCACTGCTCCGACAGCGCCATCCTACCCCGCCGGGACCGACGCCGCCCCGGCCTGCCCGCCCTTCCCGCGCCCGGGCTGCGGCTCCGCGGCTGCGCTGGGCGGGAAGAGCCCGTGCGAGAAGCTGAGGGGAGGGACCGATGCTGAAGGGAAGAGGAGGGGCCGCCATGCTGGGGGGAGGCTGAGGGGCGGCGCCGCTGAGGGGAGGCGGGGGGGCGGCCATGTTGGGGGGAAGCTGAGGGGCGGTGCCGCTGAGAAGAGGCGGTGGAGGAGCCGCCATGGCGACGGGAGGCTGAGGGGCGGCGCCGCTGAGGAGAGGTGGGGGCGCGGCGCCGCTGTGGGGAGGCGGGGG